TTCATTGATTTATTCATGGTACCTCAAAGGCCCAATTAAGGGCATTACAGCCTTACAACTGATGCCCTCTCATTTTATATCAGTGTCCACCCAGGCAGTACACGGTTTTTGGCCAATATTGGAAAAGAACTGACCGAAACAGCTCCAAAGATAGTCCACTTAAGCCAATTTGTTTTCATTATTGCCTATGCCAGTTTATAGAATCTTCAGTGATTACCCAGCTTGTGGACTGACCAACCAATATTGGAAGTACTATGGCATAAAATGAGCAATCTTGGCCTGTCAGTTTCAGTGTTGCGAAGCTGCCACTCCGGAGTTGGAATGATTCAGGAATCATTCCGCACTCTCGCGACCCCGGAATAGAATGGAGATGGAATAGCGGCAGCGCTGGGGGAATGGAATGGGAATGGAATTAGTTGCCTTCTGCCCGGAATGAAGTGGGAAGGGAATGGGCTCAGTTCTTATGCGAGCTGTGTCCATTTTCATCTAGGGCCTACGGGCTGATGGCTCCATTCGCTAGCGCGTGGTAAGTGGCTCTTGAAAGAGCATCATGGCACTGGAGGTGATTGACGCTTGCATCGATCGTCTCATTGGTTTAAGCTCCTTCGAGGATGAAAATGGCGTGCCTCGGTGAAGCAACCAAATGGCAGAGGACAAGGTGTAGTTCTTGGTGCCGCGAGACGCGAAAAAACCGCTGTTGTAGTCATACGCAATCAGCGTTGTGTTCGTTCACGCCTCGTTCTTGTCCCTTGTCTCGTTTGCTCAGCGTTCTGTTCGTTCACTTCTCGTTCTTGTGCCTTGTCTTTTTTGTACAGCGCTGTGTTCGTTCACTTCTCGTTCTTGACCCTTGTGTTTTTTGCGCTGTTTCCAAGTTTGCATTATGAACCAACTAGCCCAACTTCACGCCTTGTTGCGATTAGCAAGCAGTTTTTAACTAGGGTGTCGAATGAAAGCTGAAACGAACACTTGAGCAAAACCGTTATTGTTATCTAAACCGGAACAGGGCTGTAACCAAAATTAGGCATTCGATGATGAACTCTAACTTGAACAGAACCGTAATATCTCGTGGCGTTTACCAGTTAAAAAAAAAAAAAACAGTTTGGCACAATAAAATGAGGGTTCGTTTTCTTGCGGGTGGCGGCGAGAAGTTAATTAAATATTCGCGAGGGTGACGTCAGCGGGTCAGTTTCGACTAACACGGCAGCAACGACATAGAGACAGCTCAGTAATAATAAAACAAATGCGTATACTTCTTTACCTTTATGTGCAGCACGAACTGGTGTTGGCGGGGAGGCATAAGGCCTGTTTACGCATGCAGCGAATGCTGACGGGAGAGTTCACCAACTTTGTATCGCACCGTCAAAACTGTTGCTCATAGCAGTCGATAAATAGCTGACGACGCGTGAATAGCGCTTCATTAGCGCTTCACTGCATGTGAGAACCGGCCTGTACACTTCTATACTTTGTTTCAGCTTACGATGGACAGCAAAGGACGCTACGCGTCACCGGAGGCAATTCATAGCTCGGAGGGCGTGATGTGCCCTTCAGGTTGTGCGGAGCGACGCGGGGAGCGTGAAGTCACGAGACAAGCTACAAACTTCGGACTAGCTTGTGTAGCTTATTGCGTCCATGGTGGCACATCGTAAGGTGAAACGGAGTATATCTGAATATGCAGAAAGGCTAAAGAAGTATTTTGGTGTTTGTGTATGCGTGTGTGCGAATGTGTTTCTTTGTTGTTCAACAATATTATTCAAGGAAGAGGAACGCAAATATAAACATCAAAATACAAATAAAAAAAAAGAAAAGAAATTACGGCTGTCGGCGCGTTTGTTTTGCGGTGACGAAATCTGGAGGCACCTAGAGGTGAAGCCGCGACGAGTGCGAGACTGCGGCGTCGGTCGCCGGGACGCCGGTCGCCCAGAACCGGCGCTGTATGAAAAAAAAAAAAAAAAAATGTGTGAGTGCGTTTTTTAGAAGCAACAAGTTTCCTGCCGTATTTTTATTACCTTTTTTTTTGTTTTGATCGTCTTTCGACTTGCCCTAACTTTCTTTCTCCTCTTCAACTCAGTCTTTCGAGCTGTTCGTTCGGGCGTGCGGCGTGGCTATAATTTCGCTGTTTCAATGTTGATGAGTTCTGGATGAGCCTCTACTATTCTTAACGACTGGGAGTTGTGAAATTTTTTTTCAAAAATCGCTTTGAACTGGTTTGCGCTTGGTGGAAGAGGTAACTGAATCGTCAGTTCTCAAGCGCCCTGAACCAGAACGGAACGGAAACGAAATGCAAAGCAACCCAAACCCGAACTGAACTGGAATAAATGCCGATTCGACTCCCGCCTTTTAACCCAACCAATCTTCTGTTAGCGTGGAGCACAAATAAAAAGTAATGAAATGAATGTGCAGCAAATGTAAAAAGCTGACGTTTTTGAAGCAGGTTAACTAATATATGGTGGTACAGTCCCTTGTGCTGGCGTCGTATACCGATTGCACCTTGTCGGTGGTTTTCTGTTCTTGCCGGAGTGCATGGAGATTTGGGGCAGGTATACGCGGTGTCGCTTCTCACAGCGCACTAGCGGTGCTATTGCATAGTATTCGAAGCAGAGAGCAAGATAGCTTCTTCTTGCGCCATGTCCAAATTAGGCACCTCTAAGGCCTATCAAACAAACACGACGCTAACCATGTATCTGTGGAGGTTTTAATTTTTGGCCCCTGTTGGGACTCGGAAGCCTTTTACACTTGATCGTGCGATCGATGGCAGCACTGAAAAAAGGTTGCCACGAAGCGCTTCGTGCAACCGCCCTTCAGCTTTGCAGAATAAGTGCCTTAAGGATGCTTTTGCAAACATTTGCAGTCGTCTTTGCGTTTGATAAAGTTAGCAGCTTTATGCTGCTTTTTTTGTTAACACAATGTGGATGACAATTAGCATCTTTTCACCTTTATGATTTAGAGGAATGGAATGGTGGAGTTCAGCCGTTCCAGGAGCGGGAATTTCTACCAAAACAAAAGACAGTAAGAGAAAATATATCTGAATTTTAGGTTTCAAAAAAAAAAAAAAAACAACTGTTAGATTTTGTGTTTCCTAACCTAGATTGTACTTTTTTTTTCGGTAGATATGGGCCCAGTGTCTCCATTCTAAGAAGTTCGAAGGAATGGAATTATCGGAAACTCCCTGAAATGGAATTGCACCAAGTGGAATGGAGGTGCTCATTCCGCAACACTGGTCTGTTCCATTGTCTTTCAAATATTGGATGAATACTGGCATAAAACCAGCACTCTAGCCGCTAAGTTCCATTAGCTTGCAAAGATTGGATGAATATTCAGGAATAAAATGGGCAATCTTGGCCTGACAGTTTTATTGGCTAGCAAATATTTGATGAGTGCTGGCCTAAAACGATTAATGTGGGCCCTGAGTACCCTTGCTTTGCTAACACTGGATGAACACTGGAATAATATGATCAACATTGGCCTGTCACTACAAATCGACCTCCCAATATTTGATAGCGACTGTCATAAAATGGCCTTTGTTGAGTTGTCTTTACCATTGGCTTGCCAATGCTGGATAAACACGAGCTTATAATGGGCAATGTTGGCCCGTTAGTACCACTGGCTCATCGACATCGCAAGCCCACATTGGCATATACTTTTAATGTTAGCCTGACAATACAATTGGGTTAATATTGGATGCATGTTGGAATAGGCTAATTTAGTCGGGCTCGTCTTGCCGTGACAATTTGAAGTTGCTAGAGCGGTTCTCAACTTTTTTAAATTTTGTCAATGCTCGATTTTGGTGTTTTCTCCAGAGTAAGAGATAAAATAAGGTGCAGACCTTGCAGGTGATATTCTGCTGCTGCTTTGTGCATATTAAGACGTCGACAGTGATATGGGCTCATCAAGACCGCCAACTGAGACCACCGATGCCCGTTTCTGTGTTCCATCGTTCGGTAGCGGCCAAATGCATGGGACCTTTCGCTCTAGAATATTATATTAAATATATAATCAAGACAGACAAGCTTCGTACCCCAACTATGGGTTTGTGGACTGCATCTTTGTGTCAGGTGAGGAACCTTTTTGCGATTTACTTGGAGAAGAGATTATTCTGAAATGCGGTTATACAAAGGCTCTGACTCTATGGCACTACTGATGCCACAGTAAAAGCGGAATGCCTCCAACATGGCGCCAAGGCACTGATAGCAGGCGACAATATTAGTTTCGATTTCAAGTCTAACCGGGCGAAACGTCTTATAAATTGTTGGCATTGTTATGCAAGTCGGAGGTATTTGTTTTTAACGCGAGAAGTAGTCATCAGGAGATTCATGACGACGTCTATTTGGGAGACGTACCTAATGCTCAAGAAAGCCAACCCAGGGGCTAAATTAGGCATAACGAAATTTCACTCGCTCCGTCCGAAGTGGGTGAAGGTGAATCCGCAACAAACAGTATGCGCCTGCTTGTGCTTCACGAATTGTGAACTTTACTTTTCTGTCCCGAACCCCTTGCTCGAAGAAGCAATCACTAAGCAGGAGCTGACGTCCAGGTGCCTTTGTTTCTGATCCGACACGCGCTTGTTTGGGATGCGAATGCAAGGAATGCCGAACACCCGTAATCTTACGTTAGAACTTTTAGAACATGTTGAAGAGGAGCAAGTAACAATCTGCGTGTGGGAGAAAGGAGACCTAACCGAGAAGATAACTCAGCCACATGTCTTTCTTGAAGAAATGGACAATTAAACCATTTGGTTCATTACTCATGATTACATTCAGAAACTTCAAAGAAATAAAATTTGGGTCGTGAAATGCGAAGTAGCTAAGAAGCGCTTTGTGGTTCGTTTTGATCTTTGCCGAGAATTGGACCGCTTCAATAACGAATGAAGTTCAAGAGTACCATTGGCACAAACAACAGCTTTCGATTTTCACGTGCGTTGCATCAACAGCTCTAAGTCGCCGGAGTTTCGGCGTCGTGTCTGAAGGGTTCTGCCACGACTCGTCACGCGCACCGCTGGCAATTCGAAGGATTAAGTATGCCTGGAAGACAATGAACGTGTTTATTGAACCCTACATTGCATGGCTTTTTTTTATTCGAAAAATTTGTGCGTGTTCGCCGCAGTAACAACATGTTATTAAAATAGTTTAAAAATTTTTATTCAATTTTTGTATTCGAAAACAAACCAAAAAATACTTTATTTATCATATGTGATACAAGATGCATTGGCGCCTTATGGGTTGTGGAAGCGGTGAAAGCAGTTCTTGGCTTTGTTCAAGCACAGAGCTACTGCACATTTCTCGCAGTTTACAAACGTGAGGGATGCACACCCTGGAAGCTTACAGCGTTGCCTGGTAGCGGTCCATTGAGGCCAGTGACTCAACTGGTCGAGTCGAACATCTTATGGTGGAAGGACTGCTGCAGATGTCTTTCGCTTCTCTGCTTTGAGCTGCCACTGAACTTCAGATGGCCGTCCTCTTTTGGTGACTATGGTGCCAAGTCTGCACAGGCACTCCGAGACTTCCTTCCGAAATTTTGCCAATGGAAATGCGGCATTCCCTTTCTGTCGACGGTAGATAAACCATACATGTACCACTGTCAAGTCTACAAGATGATAAAAAAAAAGTCGGAAGTACGACTTCCTCGAGTGCATGGTAATCTTGTACCTGCCCATCAGACCGTCTAACATGTCCACACCACCTATGTGTTGATTATATTGGAGAACGATATTTGGGCTTTCAAAGTCAATCTCGGTCTTCAGCCTTCGATCATACCTTTGCACGGACTGTTTGGATTCTGAGCCTAGAAACGTCAAAAGCAGGGTTACAGTCTTGTTGTCCATCCACACAACAGCTGTAACGTCAATGCCGTCAATTCGTGCCACGCTTTTCTGCAGTAGTTCCCCTCTCTGCCTTATTGAGTTCTTGCTCTGTTAGGAGTTTGCAGTCCTTTACTCGATTCGTTCGCACGGTTAAGAGACAGAATTCCTTGCTCTGCTAGGTGAACCATAATCTTGGGACATATATAGTAGTTATCGAAATAGAGTTTGTATCTCGCATTTTTAGGAATGTGTCGCATCAGTCTCACAACAACATTCACCGTAGTTCCCCAATCCGGTTCTCCTGCTTTCCTTTTCGAAGGATCGTTTTCTTGCCCAGTGTAAATCTCTATATCATAGGCATAGCCGGAGACACCGCTTAGCACAAAGAACTTATAACCCCCCTTGTGAAGTTTATTAGGCATGTACTGCTTTAGGTAATGGCGAGCTTTCGTCGAGCACATCTGTTCATCTAATGCAAGGCATTCTTCCATTGGCACCGACAGAAACTTTGCCCGTAGTGCTTCAAACACTGGTCTTAACTTGAAGAGCCGATAACCTGTTGTATTGTCTGTCAACATTTCCGCATTGTTACAAAGGTTCAAGTACCTTCTAATTTTTTCGAACTGGTTTACAGACATCACAGACGATATGCTGGTGTTACCGAGGACCAGGTCCCAGTAATCTCTAATGTTCGGGACATGAACGAGCGACGTGAATATGCAAATTCCAACATACTTCTTGACGGCTGCCGAAGTTACCACGACTGGTCTATCAGGGTTTGTCTGAACACTGTACTGGTATGATTGCTTTGCTATAAAATCGATCAGTTCATTGGTGAAAAAGTACTTAAAAAATTGGAATGGTGACTCCATCACCTGTATCGAGGGAGGCAAAGTTGTCGTACCACGAAACGTGGTTTTCTCTGGGGGTAGATTGAAGCACTGTTTTTTCCAATTGACAGCTTGGCCTTTAGACTTGGTGAGTGTTGCTGTTGTAGAAGGTACATCGGGCGTACTATCTTCGCTTTCTTAGTCATCCACGATCCCTTCTGCTTCAAAGTCCGGGACATTTTCATCCTCTTCATCGGAGCTTGCCTCGCTTTCTAAGGGAAACAAAATCCCCTGAATCTCTTCATAAGTCAGATGTGTCGCCATTGACGAGCTGTACACAAAAACACTAAAAAAATATATATATTTTCAAACTGTTTGGAATGCGGCATTTTCGGTTGCTTGGCAATATTTTAGAATAAAAACTTCGGAATTTCTAGGAAATAGAGTCCGCAATATCGTATTGGTATTCTCTAAATCGGAAAATACTGAAATCCATCGTCAAAGCCTCTGAAAACATGTTGTGCACGAAGGCTTCCCGGAGCCCAAATCAAGCTTCAAATGCATAGTGTATCTATCGTATCAGATACACATGTTTGTTTTCAAGCTAAATCTTTCCAGAATCAAATTGCTCAGAGTTACAGCTTGTCAAGACACAAGAAGGTATTAGAAGTCACAGCATAATTTGGAATAAGGTATTTCTTACCTGGCACAGTAATAATCTTTACAATGAAGTTCGTGTTTCCACTCACGTGTTGCTGATGTCAAGAAGCGCTGCACCTGAGCGCCGACCGAGGAAGTGGCTCCATCTAGCGTAGTCGTTTTCAGACAGGCGGCGCGAAACATGCATCGGATGCTATACAGCATGCATTCGCTTTGAATTTAGTCGGATTTCTCTGGGATTGCTTTTTACAGAAGTGTATCATATGATATACACTATGCATTGTAGGGTTAAGCGTCACCTATGTGTCTGACCGAGCTGTATCTCACTAAAAAGCTTATACCAGTTCAAGCTCCGCGGCTCTGATAGGACAGAATGGTTGTTCTCAGCATCCGGCCACGTCAGGAACTCATGCGACGGAGTTGGTGGCTTACTCAAGCACCTCGCCACAGTGCACAACTTTCGTTACCGAGACGAGGTCTTCATAAGAATGTCGCAGGGCTTCGTTAAAAAAATCCAAAAACAAATTCTATGATTTTTTTTTTTAAATCTGTTTTCGTATGCATAACAAGTAACAGAACTTCGTACAGTAATCAAACACGGAAGATTTTATTTTCAGCTTGGTCCACCTAATATTTTTTAATAACACGACAAAAAATTTTTATTATTTTTTAAGCTGTATTATTCCTGGACGTGGGGCTATTATATATATTTAATTTAGTAAAATGAAAATACGCACCCCGACCACTGCGTTCGATTTGAAATTAAATTGCCCAAATAGCAGTTGAGCATCGGCACAGCACTTGCCGTAGTATTAGAAGCATCTGTGTTCTCCCACCGCTTCTCAGATGAAAGAGATTGTCGTGACCTACATTAAGGATTAGCCCTATATATATTGTAGCGGTGCTGCTGAGGCGCGTGCCAGACCCCACCGAAGACAAAGACGAAGCGCGTGCAGACGGCGCGTGACACACTTCTAATCTGGTCTAATTTGGCTATGGACGTCCTTTTGTAAATTAAAAACGTAACATTTGGTGTCAGAAGTGGGATTTCTGGTACGGCACCTCATGCCACCCGGAAGGCACCATGTCAGGATGAAACTCCTGTGCGACATGGTCGTCACTGGCGTCTCAATGAGCCATAGGGTCACGGCTTGATTACCTGAAGTCGCAAATCGCCGTGCCGCACCTTCCACGGACGAGTCATCACTTCGCCATGATGTTCACGACAAGTTTGTGGCCGTGAAATGAAGATCCTGCTTTGACCGATGGCCACTTTTGCATCCCAGGATAGCTAGGTTCGACATTGTACATGTACCTTTTTTTAGTACACGGAAGTGACGTCATCACGTCTGATTGATTGGAAGCAAAAGTGACGTAATTTCCCTAGAAAAATGTGGGCGGAGTCGGCAAAACTGGGCGGAGTCGGCTACCGGACGTGACAACAAAATGACGTTTCGTTTTGTACCGAGTACGTTTTAAAAGGTACTTGCTCGGAACTAGGTGTCATTGGCAGCATGTTTTCGGCGGCGAGGCGCCGCCGTCTCGTCAATTCGTCTTTTTCTTCAATAGAGCTTTTTTTTTTCGCCAGAAAGGCTGTATCGGGAACACCGCGATGCATTCGAGCGCCCGGAGGAGATCTTTTGGAAGCAATACCGCCTGCCCAAGATCGTGGTGCGGTGGTTGTGCGACGAACTTCGCGAGGAACCGGAGGTGGGGAGAGTGCGTACTTCGTGGACGGTCATGACTGTGGAGCTTCAAGTGTTGTGTGCACTGCGCTTCTACGGCACGGGGAGCTTCCAAGGCATGGTGGCGAGCGACGAACACGTAGCGCGGGACCAAAAGACAGTCAGCGTTGCGGACCGCGCCGTGTCCGTCGCTATCGTGCGTCGTCTCGGGGTCCAGCGTGGCTGGATCCACTTCCCCGAGACGCCGAGCGAGAGGTTCGACGCGGAGAAGGGCTTCAGGCTGCTCGGCAGGATACCCGGCGTCATCAGTTGCGTGGACGGGACCATGGTCTCCATCGTCGGCCCGTCCAAGAACGACCCCACCGTCACGAAGGCGGCGTACTGGTGCCGCAAGTACTTCTACGCCCTCAACGTGATGGTGGTAAGTACACTCATGTTACGTTGTCAAAACGCGCCCCAAATCTCTAGAAAAAAAAAAGTATTGCCGATACGGTTTAAGTATGCCGTTTTATGACTGCGGGCTGTGGGGTCTCACGATTGCGCGAGCGTGTGCTCTACGTAGCATGTGAGCCGTGAGACGCTTCTCCCAAAAATAATACTTGTCTGTTAAAACGTGCAAGCTTCCGTAAAAAAAAAAAAAAAAAAAAAAAAAAAAAAAAATCGCCTGGTCGCTTTGATGGTCGTCAGTTTGTACGGAATGGGATCAATTCCTCCTTGGCCACTTGGGGCTCGCCAAATCTGTCCTCGGGTCGTCTCTGTCCCACACACTGGATTCTTTTCCCTGAACCTTCTTCTTCGGTCTGCCTATATAGCTCCTCCTATTAGACCCTCCGTGTCCCAACAGGACCTGACTCCTTTTCAATCTAACCACCCCCTCTCTTTTCCCCATCTCCAACTCCACCGAGGATTAGGAAAGAGGTTCGTCGAACTGGCGCCTTATCCCCTTGCTTGCCAAAGACAAGGCCAGCGTGTTCTGTTCTGCCCGTGCCTAAGGTCACGGCCACACTCACAAAAGCAACAGAGCTTTTATCTGTCGGATGCAAGGGCCTAATAATGCACTTGCATACAACACAGCACCCCTAAGGAATCGTGCACACATCCCATACAACCCACCAGGAAAACACATAGTTACATGAAATAACAGGGAGTTTGCAGGCAAGCTGGTGCTAATTAATCATAATGTAAACTGATACTGTAGTGCAGAAATATTAACACACTTTTAAGTCACACTTAAGTTACATTATAATTGACATAGTTGCACACAGCTGTTTTCTTGCCTTTTATTTTAAAAAGTAAAGACTGTAATATGTTCCATCCTCTACATGTACAGGTGACAGCGGCTACCCCTTGGAGCCTTGGCTCATCACCCCTGTCCCCGGGAACCACGCGACCTCCACCGCTTGCGGCCGGTTTAATAAGGCGCATTCCTCGATCAGGTCTGTTGTGGAGCGCTGCATCGGGCTGTTGAAAAACAGACTCCGGTGTCTGCAAAGGCACCGGGCTCTGTATTACCACCCTTCAACAGCCACCGCCATTATTTCGGCATGTGCTGTGCTCCACTACATCTGCCTTGCATCGAGCGAGCCAGAACCGGAGTCAGACTCCGACTCTGAAGAGTCAGAGTTGGAGTCTGAGCCGAGCTCGGACGGTTCTGAGCCGAGCTCGGAGAGGTCAGCGTCGGCTCCCGAGAGGCTGGCTCCTGCCCGCCCTCCGGTCGGCCTTCCGGTCGGCCTCTCGGACAGGGGGAAGGCTCTGAGGCAGCGCCTTGTCGCCCGGTTCGGAACCCGCCGCAGACGTGCCCGTGCGGAGCGCCACACGCAAGGGGTCCGCCGCCACGACGGTAGTCCCGACCACCAGGGACTCCGTCGGGAAGCCCCTCAGCGCCCTCGCTGCGGTGGTGCCCAGCACGGACGCCGCCAGCGACAGGGAACCTCTCGCCACCACGACTGAGGTCCTGACCACCAAGGACCCCGTCACATTCTTGCCCTCAGTGAAGCCCTCCCCGTGGAAGCCGTAAAGTGCACACTTCGCTTCCTGCTCCACAGTCATGGCCGTCCACAAGCTACATACTCTCTTCAGCTCCTACACCTTGTGAAGTTCGTCGCACAGCCAGCGTGCTGCCTCCGGATACGTGTCGAGTGCATCGCGGTGAAATCGATACAGCCTTTTTTTAATTTTTATGAGCAGAAGGCACGAGACGCAGTCGACAGTGACAGAAAAGGTTCGGAGGTTTAGTTGCCAGACCAACAGGTCATCTGGATTGCCCCTGCAAAGAACTTAGAAGTAATTTAGACCTCTAGAAAGAAATGCTTGCTTTTGCAGAGATTGCTTTCTTAGTTGCTGATTGAACCAGGGATATTGTTGTCATGGACATCGTTTCATTTTACAAATGCTTCAAAGCGTCTTGCCTTCTGCACCATTTTATTATCTCTTTTATGGTATTTCATCAAAGTTAGGTGATTGTGTTATCTCAAGACAGTGCACATGTAGTTTGTTTTGAAAATTGCTTTATTTCTTAAAGAAAAACCTGTGACTTCATGAATAAAAGTGTGATAACATGGAATGTAATATTTCATTCTTGGAAGTAAAACTGAGCATCGACTGGAACCATGTAAGCAATTGGGCAATCTTAAGTATATATCACATATATCTTGTTGAACACTCTGGTCTTATTTGAGCACAATAGTTAAATTTCGAAAGGAAAAAATATATATATATATTCTCTGACTAGCATACCACCATATAAACACTGGACCACTTTGAAAGAATTATCACAGATGTTGCGCCAAACATTCTTATTTGAGCACAGCAATAGCAAGTTCTCGAAAGATAAAAAAATTGTTTCTGACTAAAGCAGCCGTCACTCGCGCGCTCCCCGTTGGTTCCGCCGACCCCTCCGCTGCCCCCGGCACACCCGGCTCCTCGTGGTTCGACATTTTGGTTTGAAGAAGGCGCGTAGCGCACATCCCGCATAATATTGGAACAACTTTCTCTCCAATTAATTCTTAAATTTATTGCAAAATGGTACAAAAAAGCGGTTTGTTTTAACAACGCCCAAAAGGTTTTGATTGTTTTTCAATACTTTTACCTGTACTAGAACAGATGCGACGGCCAGCGACGCACAGGATTAGTTGCCGTTCCTTCGCTAAACGCAGGAACTGCTCCCCGCGTCGTAGTAAATCCTACCCCGTATCCCGCGCGTAGGGACGCCTCAGGGAATGCGTAGCTACTTCCGCTCGTCGGTGGTTGGCTCCGGACGTCGCTGAAACGGGTGACGGGTGTCAAGTTTGCGATGACGTAGCGGCGTCAAAGTGGGCAGAGCCGCCACGTGAGTGTTGCTAGGATACGCTCCTCCTTTGCATTACGTCACTTCCATGTACCTTTTCTCAAATGTCCAACCTAGCGATCCTGACCTTCAGGCAGTCA